GGCTCTTGAGATTTGAGTACTCTTGTTCATTAGAGTAACAGATGCGTAATTCCAGAAATTAGGGGTACAAATGTGTGACATTTTCATGTCTCTGTTACATCTGACCTTTGTTATTTGACACGGAAATACCGGTATATCTGAAATTGATTTCAAACTATTGCTACTTGTTTGGCAGGTAATTTGCATTAAATCATCACTCTTGGAAATTAGAAATGTCTTCTGAACTTACAAAATCATATGTCAGATGTGACTGGGACGCACAAAAAATGGACCCCTAATTTCTGGAATTACCCGTATGTAGAAACATGCAAAGCAATCTTCTTGGCCGAAAAAGAGGACAGTGTTGTTCTCAGCTGAGACGTTTCCTCAGTTTACTCGGCGGACAGACAAGGCAGCCTTCGCTGTACATGTAATTGTCTCGATGGCATTTACATACATACAAGCGCAGTTATCTGAGTCTGTCCGTCAGCTGTTCGGGTTAAACGTGAGGCCCCTGAAACGTGCCGTCGGGGAAGCAATATTTGCATGTGTGAGTGATTTACATCACTCTGTAATCATTTTGGAAGGCGCAGATCCTTGGAAAATCACACTGCAGTATGGGAGATGTTGACATTGCTGGACTCTGCATGCAATGCACCAAATAACACAGTCTACCTTAGGGAAACTAGAGAAAGAAGCACGCAGCCAGGTTTTATCTGCTCTGTGCACAAGTACACTACTCTTGACCAGTACGTCTATGGTACATGTACATGTACATGATACAGAATTTATGAGTTGTTAACCAGTGGCTTAAAAAAACCAGCATGTACAGGGTCCAATCAAAATACCTTAAAGTATCATGAGACTACACAGATTTTCCCAGATCAGCTCTCTCTGCCCTAGCCCGAGGCAAGTCCTTAGTACCGTAAGCAACTGGACACGATGTATTTTTTCTCACATAAAATAACAGTAAATTTTATTATCCGATGGCATAATAGTCACAACTTGTGCCAGATACGTGTACGGTTGTCGTTTAAATGCAAGTCCATCCCCTCGTGCTTAGTCTGCGTCTGTTTCATAACTATTTCATACTTGTAAGGGCACTATGTGTGGTGCCATGGTCTTTCCCTATGCCGTCGTCCGTGGATGTGTGTTAGGTCACGTGGGTCAGTGAGCATGATGAGATTGCCTATACACATTTTACATATGCGCATGCATAGGTACCGTAACTCCGTGAAAGTTGGTCAGATGCTGTACACGTAAGTGCAGCATGCATCTTCAGCATGAGCTATTCAACCTACATGTACATGTACATGTATTCGTGCAAACCTGTTCACATGTTCATTGTGTTGCTCCACTGGGTTGTTATTGGCACAGCACGGTACAAACATGTACATGTACATGTTCAATATGCCATCTCGTTGTTCACATACAGGGCCCACATGGTATAAATGTACCCGTACATGTACCTGAGCCTGCATGTTTAATGTACATGTGCACATGTACTCGAGTTTATAATTTGATATCACTAAAATTCATGAACCGGTTAGGCCTTCATCAGTACTTTGTCACACTCTGTTAGTTTTACAGACTTCTTTCTGGTGCGGTGACTGTCTTGCCCCTCTGGCAAGTGGAGGTCATTTCTACATCTTTTCCATGTACCAGTACATGTGCATGCACTGTGTACAGGATGGGAGCTCTTAAAAGTACTAACCCCATTTTCCGCACCATTGCTTTCAAGGCAGTCTTGGAGGGCAGCGCTTGATGTGGGTGGAAGGTTGATTAAACATGCTGGCACCTCTCTAATGGTGCCATGTTAATAATTGAAGGTTGTCTTTATTTTTATTGGTTTTTTTTCCTAACGTCAATGCTTGGGAAACAAAGCTTCTTAACCTCCCACTGGGTGGCTCCATTGTAGTTTTATTCATTAACAGACTCCAGTCCAGTAAATGTGAAGTTGCAGGGTTCGACGTCAACGTTGGTCCGCTAGCCAATCCAAGTAAAAGCTGCGGTGGTCTAGCATAAGCTCCGGTCTGGGTAGTCCGGCGGTCTAGTAAAACAGGATTCTCAAATAAGCGTCGAAATAGTTAATTGTGACTAGTTTGGTCCCTGGCACCAGCCCAGCAGAAGCAATACTAAAGTCTATGAATGCAGCAGCTGTAAATCGTCTGAAACTTCTGTTCGCAATGCCCATGCGACGCGATTGCAAACTGTCGGCCGTTTACTGTACGACCACATACATGTACTGGTATGGTTGGTCTCGACGTTGGTTCTGCATACAAGATCTAAATCAGCTCGTGTTTTAATGAATTACATCTCAGAGGTACGTGTAAGTTCATGAATATGCATCCCATGTGTATGACGTGCCGTGTGTGTGTACATGTATGGCATGTGTATGCATTATGTGTGCTATGAATATGCAATACTGGTTTTTCTGATTGGTCATTGGTAGTTGTTACAGCAATGATGTTGGGGGTGTGATTTCGTGTTTGGTCCACACGCTACAGGTACTGGACACAGTCAAGAACGAACATGTACAATACATACATATACATGTACAGTACATGTACATTGTTTATGTACATTTTGCCAGGCATACCGGTACTGTGCATGTACATAAACTGTTCATAATGATATGGAATTTTTTTTTCTGTCTCTTAGATTGTGAATAAAACAAACCATTTTCACCAAGTAACCAGTTTGTTTGTGTGTTTAATTTGCTTGAGTAGAGTTATAGTCATGAATATTCTGGAAATTCATACATGTAAGTCCCATGGCCATTTATTTTATGATTACTCATTAACAATTAAATAGCAGTCAGCACCGCATTATGCATGATGTTGGAGCAGAAAACATTACTGCCAAAGAAGAATGTTGAAATTTGGGGGAAGATGCGGACTTGTGAAAATGCTGGCGGACTAGTATGTACATGTACATTGTACAGTACCGGAATGTGGTTTGAAGTTATAAATCACCCAAGTCATTTTCGTACAATTCTTCCACAGCATTTGCATTTACTGGTAGGAGTGTGAGAAAGTGTTACACAGTGATCTAAATGTTTTCAGTGATTCACCTGCAATAACTTTACCAGCTGTTTTGTTTATATAAACTCTCACCTCAACTCTCCTAGTCCATCACTGTATAAAGTAAACTGACAAGTGTATTTTTCACCCTGCAATTTATAAAGCATATAAAGTGCCATGTGAACCGGGTAAAGTTTCCCCGCTACAATGGCTGGGTTGTATGTATGGTACGTGTATGATTCTTCCTTGATTCCGATCTTGCCAAAACCTCCAAAACCTGGTGGATTTTGAAAGAACCAGGAGTAAAGTTTGGAAGGTCTTAATGGCTCAAGATCAAGGCCATCATGCCAGTACATGTAGTAAGAGCCTACATGTACATGTACATATACATGTAGGTATTGTAAGACTTCACAGGATTAATGCAGGGATAATTTCACAGCAAATGAGCCTCAGACATGCTTTTGGACCAAAAATGCCAACCTTTAAAAATGGCATGTACATGTGTACATTGTGTAAGCTGCATTTATGGTACATGTATACATTGCTGACCATTCCAAGTCTTTTGTATGTACAACAAATTGTTGTAATCATAGTTTCATTTTTACAGCAGCCAAGTTTAACACATACATGTAGTCACCTTTGAAAAGACTTGTGTGAGTGTGTTCACCCAGGAAGGAAGTACCTGGTGTGTTCAAAAAAGTGGGAAATTTAGTAGTTTGACCTGTCACCTGTCTCCCTGATTGTGCATTCCCAGAATGCATTAACGTGCTCTCTGCAAAGCTATGGAATCATTTATTGAGGAGAAATCCATTGTCTGGTATGAAATGGTTTGAAAAATCCCTGCCCCAAATAAACCTCCAACTGTTCCCCGGGATTTTCCTGCTCAATCCAACACAGTCCAACAGTCCCGGTTGTTGGTTGATGCAGCTTTTAAAATGTTTTGCCGGCTCAACCCAACAGTGCCTTATTTTTTGTGTTTCCTCCTGAATTCAACAGAATGTAACATGTCAACTGTGCACAATCATTGGTTGCCTGCTGAATCCAACAGTACCTTGTTAAGTTCACTGTTACTTAACTTAAGACCTCCCAACCCTCCCGATTTTGGCAGAAAATTTCTGCCTTTTCCCTTCATTTCCGCCATTCCGATTTCACCCCTACAATTTCCGGCAAATCACAATTTTGACACACCTATGTATTACCAGAAAATGGCTATGTAATCTTGTGCATGTAGCGTAGCACCCCTTATTCGACTTATCCAAACAGTCAGTGTGGTGCACACTACGCACACCACATTTGTGGCAGCGCCCTCTTCTGATGCGTACCAGCCGCGAGATGGATGTGATACATGGACATGATACTGAAATTGTTTGTGGACAAAAACACCCTCTATCAACAAGCTTCATTGTAACTAACACTGTATGCATTGCGCTGTGCCCACTTTCGCTAGGAACCACAGCTAAGAATGTTTGGATCTACCGTAAGACCAAGCACTGCTGTGAAACTGACCATGATACATCAAGTGTGCAAGCACCACACGGCGAATTTTTCGCTGAATTTCGCACTTAAATTCGTGCTGAATTTTGCGGTGAATCAGCACATTTAGGAGATGAAAAATTATTGCAAACCATTTCAGATGATGTAAACTCTTGTGGAAATAAAAATTTATGGAATTGGTGAGTACGTGTGGTACTGTACATCATCACGGACATGGACTCGACTTTCTTTCAATGCAGCACTGATTTTTCCTTGTTCATGTTAATACAGAGAATATTCCCAGTTTTTTACGAAAAGTTCTGAATTTTAGGGAGACGGATTCCAAATTCTTGATAGCCAATGTTTGGAGGTCTGCTTAACTGCTAAAACACAACTGAGTTTGACAAGAACGAAACAAGTGAGTTCTCTGCCCGATCAAACAGGATCTGCCAGCTACCCGTACGTCCAATCCTGCAGGATAAATACGGTTATACGGTATTTCCATTTCTATTTTTCTCACCACAGCTACATAAGATCGAGCTGTCGCAGGCCCTTGAGAAATCCCGCGTTCTGCAGGATGGGCTGCAGGCCCTAGCGCAGGAGCACCACAACTTGGAGCAAATCTCCAGGTATTCTTCTTTGAGTGGGACCTTCTACGATGCCAAGACGGAGGCCAGTTGTGCTGGCAGCCCAGAGGTGAGCGGGGGGGGGAAAAAATGCAGTGGCTGCCGCTTTTGTTCTTACCAGGGCCCAATTTCATGGCATTGCTTAACAGTTAGCAGAAAAATTGCACTTACTGTGGCAGAAAAGTTTGCTAACCAGAAGCACCACTTTGACCGCTTACGGTCACCATGAAATCTCTATGAAAGAGGGAAACATCCAAGGAAGAAACAGCTCTAGAGTTGGGTTCTAACTTACTGCCGCCATACGGTTGAACAGGCTATAACTTGACACTGTGAAAATCTCTTCCGACATGTAAGTTTCTGCCTGAGATAAGCAAGAAAGTGAGAATGCTTTTGTATGGTAAAGCTTCTTTAATGTCCCTGGAGTCACAGGTAGGTCGGAAACTGTTTTCACTTTGTAGTGACCACATATCCCTAAAGACCTGTACCTGTAATAAAACAAAGCCAAGCAATCTCTCCCCCCCCCCAGAAAAAGTGTTCTGGACTTGGGTAGTCGATCTCTTTGTGACATTATTTGTTAATGAAGTGACCCATGATGCTTTTGCAAAACAGTTCTGACATGTCTGATTACATATGCAGTGTGTAATTGCTGCCAACATATGCTCCCGTGTCGTTTTCATATAAAACATGTACATGTAGACATTACAGTCTCATCTTTCTAATGGTAAGACACCAGTGTAATGAAAATCGATGCGATTGATTTATGTGGATCACCATATTCTCCAGGGGCTTATTGAATCCATTGGCCTGACGGGGAATGCTCTCTTGGTTTCACAGCTACATGTGTCTTACCAACAGATCTTGTACTGTACTTGTGCATGTATATGCTGAGGGGCACTACTCGTGACCAGAACCTCTCAATCACAAAAGTGCTGCAAGGCTCTGCTCTAGGGCCCTTGCTTGGTACAGTATTTATCATCTATGTCAACCCTCAAGGTGACGTCATTCGCTGACACGGTCTCAAGTTTCCCGTTAAAATATGCCAATTACATTCAGTTATATTGCACTTTCAACTCTAAGGATCCAGACTCGATATCAGCTGTGCTTTCCAGGTTGTCATCCTGCATCCAGGACTTGAAATCATGGTTGACTGACAACATGCTCAAACTGAACGGAGCAAAAACGGAATGTCTCATTGCAGCATCAGCCCATTCACTTTGCAATTTGCCTCTTGGGAGTTCCATCATCTCACCATCAAAGTCGGTCCGCAATCTCCGGGATTCATTTTGATGAACACTTGTCCATGTCTACACACGTTGCTACAAGGCCGCGGTCCATTAACTTCCACCTTCACAACATTGCACGAATTCACCGATACCGTGATTTTGATTCCTGTCATCCAAGCCCTTGTTCTCTTGTGGCTCGATTATTGTAATTCTCTGTTATTTGGCGTTGCTAAAACACATCTAACAAGACTCTTTAACGACTTCAAAATCGCACTACGTACATTTTATTGGCTGCTGGCTGGTGTTTCCATTACTTGCCCAACTTCACTGGCTTCCTGTCCAACAGAATTTAATTCAAGTTAGCTCTGCTCATCTTCAAATGTATTCACCGCACAGTTTGCTTCACACCACATGTTCCTGGTCGACCTGGTCTTTGTTATACATGTAGTGGTACATGCCTTGATGCTGTGCTGTGCGGTGCTGTGATTACACCCTGCTGTCAGTACCCAGATCAAAAAAACAGCTTCACTGACAAAGCCTTCACAATGTCCAGTCCCACATTGTGGAATATGATACCTGCCCATATCAGAGCTCTGAAAACTGTTTCATTTTTCAGAAAACAACTAAAAACATATTTGTTTGTAATCTAAATTTAAATGTCCTTATATCACTGGTCGTTGTTATCCTTAGGGCCTTGATCTAGATGGAATGATGCTATAGAAATCCCGTAGTATTTTTATTATGTACCTGTTGAAAGTTGTACTTTTTTCATATTAATTTATTTGGTACCGTACATGTCAAACATTGTCAACATGTCAAAAATCAAGACATTAGTTAAATTTGAAGTCATAAATATTGGAACTTGAGTCGGACTAGAGTCCTTGTCAGCAAATTGGGTTAACAGCACTGTAGACTTGTCCGTAATTGCAAAACTGGGTTTTTTTAAACAGATTTTTATAAACTCACATGTATATCCGTTTGTCTGGATTGAAAACTTGGTTTGTACTAGTGCTTGCCTCTCACCTCTGTGGCCTAGGTTCTATTCCTGGCCAGGCTGTGAGTAGACATGCTAGAGCTGCTGTTTCTCTTCTGTTCTGAGGGTTTTCTCTAGATTCTTCAGTTTTCCTCCCTCTGCAAAAATCAACATTTACGAACTTTGGCTGTGCTAGGCGGAAATTTGCGGATGATCAGGCAGGTGCCTGATGTGCCTTTGCATGCTTACAGCTCAAGGGTCTGGTAGTTCAGTGTGTTTTCCACCCAGTGCATTTCAAAGTGTCATATAATGTACTGGTACATACATAAATGTACATGGAGTTTGGGCTTATTATTATTATTTTCAGAGCCTGAGTGAAAGGGCTTCCCTGGATTTAGCTGGTTCCCTGAGTGACACGGACAGCTTCCACAGCATAATGGATGGGACGAGCGGTTCCCTGGAGCGATTACATGTGGCCGACCCGGAAGGGCAGAGGTCAGAGAAGAGGTCAGAGGAGGTGTCAGGAGAAGAGAAGAAACTCACAGCGAACGGGGTGACAGATATAGTCATACCAGGCTGCAGAAGGTTTGTGTTCTGTTCCGTAATAACTGCATTCAAATAGTGCCTGCTCATGTTGAATTGGCGTTTATTTGTGACCCGCTCTGCAAAAAAAGGGTATTAAGGGGCGCTGTGTTATTTCACACTAAGGGCTTTTTGATGTGAACGGTGATTTGTTAAGTTCTTGGTTTATTGGCTTGTATTAGATCAGTACTTTCACAATGCATACAAGAAACCTAACTGTTGCTATGGGTATCAAGAAACTCTCTTCTTGGCTGATTTCTTTTTCCACTTCCTGTGTTTAAAGGGCTTTATCTCTGAAAGCAGTTCTGTTAATGTGTATGATATGATTACGTAAAAATGAATACATCTCCAGATTGTAAAATGCCACAGGGTTCACACCTACACCAAATTAAAGATTATTGTAACCAATTCAAATACGTATGTAACTCATTTTGAAAAAAAAATGTCCATAATACCTCTTTTTGTGGAGCTGGTCACATTTGGGGAAATTTCGCTAGTTTAAAAGCTTGATTACAAAGATGAACAAAGAAATTGACTGGAGCGGGATTTTAACCTGCGGCCTTTGGAATACCGTACTTGTGCTCTACCAACTGAGCTGCCCAGCCCTTTTTTGGTGGCTCTTCCCTCTTCTTAGTTTAAAAGCTGTTTGTTTCAGGAACATTAGGTGGGGCTTTGCAGACTTATTCTTACAAGGTACAATATTCATTGATCACCTGGGTCTTTTTCAAACTTTGAATGTTGACAATCCCCACTACATGTATTTCAACAGTACAGTTTCAATTCTCCTTAACCCTAACAGTACCGGGCGTTGTTGGGCTCAGAGTACTCAGCACTACAAAAAAATACGTAACACTCTGAGCCCGAGGGACCTAGCGCTACAAATTACTATTTCTGGCTAGGTTTATTCCATTGTTACTTGTACACAATGAAACCATGCATTCATAGTGCCACAGCACTGTATGGTACGTTGTCTTCTCTGTTGTATTTTATGGCTTCAGAGAACAATACGGTCATGTCCTCTTACAAGCGACAGGGCTGAGTACTACATTTTACTACTAAGTAGTACTTTGTAGCATTCGGGACTGTTAGAGTTAAGCAGGATACAATGTACGAGATGGGCTCAGTATTTCCTACAGAATTTGCATGTGTTAACATGCACACACGCTCTTTTTCAAAAAGTTGCAGTTTTGAGTCAAAAGTGCACCAACAACAGAACTCAGACAGTTAAAAAAAAAGTTTTCCAACGCTTTAAGGAAAATGTGATCTTGTGGTTGGGATTATTGGCACCGCACAGGGCCAAAAGGGGTAAAGGTTTAAGTCCAGCTGTCTGGCATATGCTGTGGCTTTGGGCAAGCCACTTTATTCCAACTCGGTACTCTGCCCACCTTGGAGCTTGGATGGGTACCAGGCTACCAGCATTATTAGCTTGGGAGCAACCAGCAACGGAATGGTACTCCATCCGGCGGAATGGAATGGCCTTAGCCACTTCATGTTGAAGAGAACCAGTGACAAACATCGTTTGGATGAGTCATTTACCAGTACATTATCCTGAGACCAACTTGACTGTTTTCCAACACCTCCAACCCTTTAAACAGACAAAAAAAAATTGCTTGGTAGCCATTGGCTCCTAATGGGGAAAAATCTAGGCGCCAGCACTTTTATGAAAGTTTAGTAATCACGTATGCTGATTATTCATGAATGTACGTACATACACACATGTAGTATAAATACCCTGTGTTTAGATCGTCCATGCCGTTGAATCGTGACCTGGCCCGGCACATGTACACCATACAACGTGCCTATGTATGTACACGAGTGCTGATGAGGTCAATCCATGAAATCAGAGTTTTCATACTCGCCAAGGGGTTCAGCCACAGATGTTACATGACGTCCGTAGTTTCAGCGTGTCGCAGGACACCCTGCTGCATGAGTTGCGCTATTTCCGACACTCTTAACCACAGTGACACCCTTCCATTCCAGTATGAGCTCCGTATCAGGCTTCATTTATGTTGCAGCAAAAAAGCAGCAAAAAAATGGAGCCCAAGCCAAGGTTTATAAAATGGGCCTGGTGTCCGTATACAGGGCATCAACAACGTATGTTTAGATCGGGAACCAACCAAGACGTGTGTGATCGCGACGCATGTACAGTATCACATACATTTATGTACATATACAGCGCAAAGTTAAGCTTTTAAATTCATGATGAGACTTGCACTGCCATTTCTACCTTTCCGGAATGAATTTTGAGTACACAATCTTTGCTTTTTTATTTTTAAGCATACTCAAAATTGTTCAGGTATGTTTTTGTATGTAGTCACAAATGGCGACTGTATGGTGAAAATATTATTGCATTGGGAAAGATCTGGTCGCATCTGCAACTGATGTAGGCACTATTTGAAGCGGTGAACACCTCTGATATGGTCATAATGCTCGCTTCAAAGTAAAGATGGACGATGGGGTGCAAAAGATAACTATGTCCACCCAACATGTATTTGATAGAGGTTATTTGATGTTACACATGTACTTTGAAAGCTTTGTGGCAAAGTGTCGGCTGCAGTGGTCAGAAGTTCAGTGGGTTGATGTCGTTTTCCTTCCTGTTATGACCTTTTTTACATAGTCATCTTCCTGTCAATTGTCCGTGCTCCAGCACAGTGCATTATGCGAGCAAAGAATTTCTAGTAATTCAGGACATGCATGGTCACTTGTTTCAGTGGGAAGTGTTAAGCTTAAGTCCAGGTGTATTGTGCATACATTTATTTCAGTTGAAAAACAACAGGAAGTGGTGCCATAATCTGTTGGTCCTGAAAGTGATGTGTTTATATTTGTGGCTGTAGTTTTTGTTTTTTGGCGAGTTTAATTATTTTGAGGTTTCTTGAAGAAGATTGTTTCGTGTCAGATTTTGTGTGAATGTTAGAAGTTTCGATTTCTTGATTCTTTATTTATGCCAACCATCCTCAATCCTCCAAAACGTCCAGTTGGTATTTGAGGATTTCAGGGTATTGACAAAAATGTCGGGTAGATTTTGAAGTGTTATTTTGTGGTGTTATGTTGGGTCCTGAAATTGTTGACCAAGTGCCTACTGTACATGTAAATGTACCTATTGGATAATCCAATCCTGGATTGGATGTTGCAACCTTGTTCAAGCACAGAGAAGGTGCCATGGCATTAAATTGCCAAGTTTTGCATTCTGAATGATCCAGAGAGGTCCCTAGCAACCAATCACTTTTTCACATACATAGTTGGAAACGGTTCTGTTGTATGGATTCACTCTGTTTGGTTTTTTGCTTTCCGTCTTGAAGGACAAAGCTGCCCGCCGTCATGATCCGCAGGGACCAGTTCAGCCTCTGGACGGTTCTGAAGCAATGTATAGGGAAGGAACTGTCCAAGATCACCATGCCAGTGGTGTTCAACGAGCCCCTGAGCTTCCTCCAACGGTTCTGTGAGTACACGGAACACTGTCAACTGCTGCACAAGGCTGCCATGAACGACGACCCCGTGGAGAGAATAAAGGTCAGCACTAATTCGACTTGGTTGAGTTTTTCTTTATAATCAGGGTAATGCCTTCTTACCTACAGACTGTTCTAGAAGACAACAAACAAATGTTTGTGTTTAAAGGTGTGAGGAAAACCCTGGATGAATATTCCAAGGAAAACCCCTCGGAATCAGGTAGGGATTGACAACCCAACCCAAGCTGACTCTCCAGTCCTGTGGTCCCTTTCTGCTAGCTTTAGCCAACCCGTCATCAGAATTGCTAGGAATCAAATCTTAAATCAAAAATCATGACTTCATGTTTGCAAGAAACAACTCTGTCTGGTTAAAGAATTTTCATTTTCTGCCTAAAGTCAATTCCAGATGACACAAAAAAGCAAACCTTAACCCTAATCTGCCTCAGTGTAAACAAGGTTTTTTTTTACAGTACCTGCATAAATCCCTATCATCTGATTGGTGGATTATTGATCACGTCACTGAATAATTTATTCCATTCCATGGTACCTGTCCAACAGATCTCTACTTGATGGGTCCCCATTTCAAGTATTTCATTCCCAGTAAAGAAAGGGGAACATAGTTTAGAAACGGGCAAGAACCAGTCTAATTTTGCACAGTGCTACCAAGGGGTTACAAAATGGCAGACGTAAATGCACGAGGACCGTTTGTTCTAACAGAAGTGGATTTATGCTTGTGTCATAAGAAACAAATCATGAATGTTTCAATTACTTAAAAAGTAGGAATAAGTTCATTCGGTGATGGATGAAGCATTTCAGCAATTTGGCTTTGCCTGGAACATTTTATCTGTCATCTCATGAAATTATTCCTACCAATGCACCGATGAACATGACTTGTATAAAAATTGTTACCACTTGCAATATCCATTTTTGCTCATCTGTGTGAATGAGCCCATACGCTTAGCAAGTTTGTGAAAGCTGGTCACAGTTCCGACAAATAGTCAGATAAATTTAATCGGGTACCTTGACTTCTTTGTCATTCTCTCGCACAGTACGTAGCAACGTTTGCCATGGCAGCGGGGGCTTCCAACCTTGGCAGACTCAGCAAGCCTTTCAACCCATTACTCGGGGAGACATACGAATTAGTCAGGTATTTCTGTCCGTGGATAAGCCCTGTTAGCACAGTATTCTTAGAGTGAACACCGATGCTTTGACCAATGCAAACGGAGTACATGTACTTGGTAAAAATATGTCAGATGCCTGTGGGTGATCTCTCCATCTGTAAAGTGGGTGGTGCTGCCTACTGGGTAGGGTCTTGTGCCTCATGACCAGAACGTAAAAGGCTCAAATCTGGCCGTGGGTAATACGTTAATGTATCCCTAGGCTAGCCACTTCACCCCCAACTTTGACATCTCCACCCAGGAGCATAAATTGGTGCCAGCATTGGTTAGCCAGCAACAGACTTGTTTTCTATCTAGAACTAGAATCTTAAACTTTTTTTGTTCATTTTCAGCTAAGAAAACCAGAGATAAGTACATTGTACAATCCTGACAAGCCATAATTATTCTTGTGACAAGCTTGGGACAGATTTTTTTACTGCTAAGCAGTTACTTTTCAGGCAGTTGTGAGAACAGTTATTTTTTTCTAATCCAGGGAAGACATGGACATTAAGATAGTCCTTGAGCAGGTCAGCCACCATCCGCCCATCAGCGCCTTCCATTGCACCTCCCCATACTTCGAGTTCCATGGCTCGGTCTACCCCAAGCTCAAGTTTTGGGGCAAGAGCCTGGAGGTGTTGCCCAAGGGTGTGGTCACAGTCACCATCCCAAAGTGAGTCAAATGTGTGGCCGTGTAGTCCGTGCGGAGTGTCGGAGTGATATTTTTCACTCCAATTGTGGCGCCTGAACTGCAAGGCCTTAAAGTAGGGCAAACGACTCGAAGAAATGGCCGGTTTGCAGGAACTTTACATGCAGTTTTAACAAAACTGGCGTCAAACTGATTGCCAGACATTACGAGAAGAACTCCAGAAGCTTTGCGTGGTACAAAAATGAATCGTTATGATAATATAGAAAATGGGAACCCCCTCCCCACCTTTTTAAGAGCTGAGCCGAGTAACATGCCAATCAAGTGAACCGTGGTAAAGGCATTCCTTTGTATTCACTTTGTTACCTATGAGTGGCCTTGTGAAAGAACTCGCAGTTTGACTTTTGAAGGGACCTGTAATGGGCTTAACAACAACACAAAACTCCAGATATTTCTGATTATCATTATTGTGTGCCCGCCCCGACCTCCCCCCCCCCCCCCCCCCCCC